ATTTCAGGCAATCACTCTAAAAGGAGTCATACCAAAAGAAAAAAGTCCTTGCTCCCAACAGGACATTAAAATTGGGTATCTACTACCCACATTAGCTGGATCAAGTTATGTTTGTGAAGATCAAGTAAATTCCTAACAGTCATCAGAAGTGGGGTGGCAGCAGCCAAGCGTATAGTGAAACCTGTGTTAAGTGACTTTCTGAAAGAAAAACAGGTTGCTTAGTAGAAGTGATCTTTAACTAAAGGTTGATCAAAATATTAGAAGCTATGATAATTTTGTCAGGTGGTTACTCAAAGCAAAGGACTGCTTCTTAAAATATAATAGAACATGCATATATGGCAGATTCTATCAGGCTTTTTCATGTATATAGTCTCATGGCAGGCAGTAGTACTGGGAAATATTCCGAAGGCCACGATCTCCTCCTCAGACTTATTTCATCATTTGTATTCTAGTAGTACCTTCAAAATGCTAGGCACTGTACACACCCCAAAAGTGCAGCTCATACCCAAAAGACCTTACAACCTAAGCTATAAAGTGAGTGCAAAATTAATACACTGGGGACTCTTCTACAGGCCTTGTGAATAAGCTGGCTCACATGGGTGGTGAGAAAGATTTCAAAGCCAGAGTTTCACAGGCCACATGAGATCTATCAACAGTGTAGCAATACTATTCAAAGTGATAAATGCATTCTAGACCAAATATATTTATATGATCCCCTATCTTGTAGCTTACATACAGTTCTCAATGTGAAAGTGGGAAATTGTATGGTCATGATGAAAAATTAGAAGTTCATTTGGGCCTGGTTGAAGGAATATTGACAAGTCAGCCAACCTCTGAGATGCTTATCTGAACATTTTGATATTTGCTCATTGCGGCTGGTAAGTGGAAAATAAAGAGGCTCAGGAGCTCCAGCCTGATAGATCCAGGGGGAACAGGGCATAGGCAACTATCTAGGCAGAAGAGCAAGCTCTCTGCAGGGGATCATCAGTGCGAATATTATGAGTTGAACCAGGCACAATAATGAAATGCTGAATACTAGTCTCTAGAGAATAGGTATCTGTCATGGTTAATGTTCCTGCTGGAGAATGGTTGTGGGCAGCGTTTTAACGTGGCTTATGTAGTTGCAGCATAGCGCTGGGAGAGAGCTTTCCCAGTGCTCTAAAAAAGACCACCTCCACAAGGGGAGTAGCTCCCAGCACCGGAGCACAGACTACACTGGCACTTTACAGCGCTGAAACTTGCAGCGCTCAGGGGGGTGTTTTTTCACACCCCTGAGCAAGAAAGTTGCGGCGCTGTAAAGTAATACTGTCTTAATGACTCCAGTATTTAATTAGGTTATGTGTAAGAGCACCTCTGCTTCTCAGGTCATTCAAACCTATAATGACTGCATAGAACTACAAAATAAACCTATTTCCATCACTAGAGCTCAAGAGAGTGAGAACAAAAGACAAACCAAATGCAAGTTACTGAAAGAGCAGGAAACTTTAGAGCCAGAAGGGACCACCACATCATCTACTATGACCTCCTGTATAGCACATGCCACCAATACTATCCCACACACTAAGCAAATTTAGTGAAGATAGTTGTCCTTATTGGAATGAATGGAATAAACCATCACTCAAATGTCATCCAGTCAGAGCACCTAAGATGTATAAAGAGATAAGGGCTCAATAGTACAATTAGAGAGCCATATGTAACCTTTTCAGCCTATGTCCCAATTGTGTTACAGATTTGGTTTCTGGAATACACTGCTAGACAAGATAAATGTGCATGTGTGGGGGTAATAGTAGCTTTCTGATTTTGCACGTTGCATCACCTAAAGCTATGTTTACACTAGCACTTTCGTCAAACTTTTGTTGGTCGGGGGGGGCGGGGGATAGGGAGAGGGAACACCCCCAACCAACATAAGTTTCACTGACAAAAATACTGTTGTGGATAGTGCTATGTCCCTAGGAAATGTTCTCCCGCCACTCACTGGGGGTGGTTTAATTATGCCAATGGGAGGGCTCTCTACTGTCAGCATAGAGCAGCTACACAGGAGACCTTACAGTAGTGCAGTACAGCTGTAATGCTGTAAGGTCTGTAGTGTAGACATAGCCTAAGCTTACCTTTTGCTGATTCAATTTCGTTCACACCATTCCTTCTGATCCGAACCATCACTTTTCCTCACACTTGGAATTATTTTGGAGTGTAATTTTACATTAGGGTGGCCAGATGTCCCGATTTTATAGGGACAGTCCCGATTTTTGGGTCTTGTTTTTATATAGCCTCCTATTACCCCCTACCCCTGTCCCAATTTTTCCACACTTGCTGTCTGGTCACCCTATTTTACATGGACACGCAAACAGATTACTTCTATTACAAAAGTGTAGGAACATCCATATAGCAACAGCTAGATATTACCAGTAGAAAATTAGAAATTCAGATTAGTTGTAACAGCAAAAAAACCCCACTAAACTCCAGCCATGGATGGATGTAAATGGAGTATCCAAAAATGGGAGCTGTTTAGTTGTAAATGTTCTTGCCTGTGATGGCACGACATACTAGACACCTAGTATCCTACTACTGCAGACTATGCCTGAGAAGAGTCAGAGTAATCCTGCCAGAAGCTAAACTTAAACTAAATCCAGCTGGCCAGAAGAATGCTCCTCCTGCAGGAAACTGGATAAGCTTAGTTTCTTTGCCTCCCACTTTAGCTTCTTTTAAAAGGAGTACAAGAGTGATGTTAGAGAAGTCTTACCCTCATTCCCCAGAATGCTGCTAGAATATTGTATAGGATGGCAGTAGGTAGATAAGTGTTTTCACTTCACCATAAATCACTAAGAAGGGGGGGGGAAAGGAAATATGATAGAGGTCTATAAAATCATGACTGGGTTGGAGAAAGTAAATAAAGAAGTGTTATTTACTCCTTTTCATAACAAAGAACTAAGGGTCACTAAATGAAATTAATACGCAGGAAGTTTAAAACAAACCAAAGTATTTTTTCACACAATGCACATTCAACCTGTTGAACTCCTTGGCCTTCACAACATCCTCTGGCAAGATTATAACAGGATTCAAAAAAGAACTAGATAAATCCATGGAGAATAGGTCCATCAATGACTATTAGCCAGGATGGGCAGGGATGGTGTCCCTAACCTGTTTGCCAGAAGCTGGGGATGGATCACTTGATGATTACCTGTTCTGTTCCTTCCGCGGCACCTGGCACTGGCAAGGCGGAAGACAGGCTACTGGGCTCACTGGACCTTTGGTCTGACCCAGTATGGCTGTTCTTATGTTCATTTACCTTATGAACCTCAAACTATTCTTGCACTTCCTAGTTTGGTAAAGATAGACTGTAATGATGCATTTAGGATGTCTGGTATCCATTACTCCAATGCAGCTTTATAATATATGTAAGGTCACAGAATAAGGCATTATGATGTGTCTTTAGTGAAGAAAATGACAGGGGATTTCATAGTGATGGGCAAGGTGATTTAAAGCTTATTTCTGTACTACCCATCACTCATATCCTGGTCATTAAGGGCACTCAGCATGTATTTTGTTACAATGTTAAGATGGACTGTGTAAGTATGTGTTCCTAACCAAAGGTTTTTGTAATATTTGCCAACATTTTATGTTACTCCACATGTGACTCATTCTTCACGCTCAAGCTGCTACAGGGGAAAAAAGAGTAGTTCAAATGTACCCTGTTCTTTAGCTAGTAACTTTAACTGGACCAAGTTTCTTCCAGTTCTCCCACCACCTCTCTTTTCTGTTGAAGTTTTGGAAGAGTATCATACAACAAACAACAACAACTAAAATTTTCAAGAGATACTCATTCACTACAAGAACCAAGCTGGCTGTTTATTATATTTTGTCATCATTGTGCACTGCATCATCTCTTTAGATAGAAAGGTAAATGAATTACAACTATCCATATTGTCTGTAACCAGACTGTTATTCTTAAACAGTACATACTTCCAAATAAATACTAGAAGCATTATTTAAGCAGACACCTAGTAATTTCAATACTGTGCTAGTGGAAAGCACATGTATTTGACAGGTACAGCATAATCTTTGATATACATAAAATGAAAGCAGTTTTCTGTACTTCTAAGCCAGCATATGCATAATCAAATCCGGTTGCCATTCCCATGCTAGCAACAAAAGGGGGAGAGAATTGCTCCCCTCTAGACAGTACACAAGAAGAGTGGAGGGGAGAACCCCTCCACCGCCACCCTGGGTTCTCCCCTCTTCTCCAAGATGGGATGAGAGTTGCAAGTGCTGGAGCAGAGGGTGCTACTGTGGGTGGTTGATGCATCTTTAGTGGGGTGACGAGGCAGTGGCAGCAACAGCAAAGGAGAAGGACACTGGCCTATGACTGAGACCCCCTTCACCTCCTCCCCCTATGAATTTGCACCTGGGTGGGTTGAAAGAAAGAAAAATGCTCCTTACTAAAGTTGGGAATCACAGAAATAGGTGGCTGTCATACAGAGTCCACGCATCATATGGATTATGCGCCACACCAAAAGCAAAATCTGGTCAACAAGCCAGCAGAAGTTATCTGGACTGATAAGTGAAAAAGACCTACTAGATAAGGGGCTGATGCCACCTCTTCATTGCCATAGGGTGCCTCTATGCTGCACTTCCCCAGCTGCCATTTCAGTCAGGACTGCTGGCTGCTCAAAGCTATGGTGTCTTCCTTCAGATTATTATAAACTGATTCCAAGATACTGTCCCACAGTCAGCAGCCCCCAGATCAATAGAATGCAAAATTCAAGTTTATGCCACCTTTGTATCTCTATAACTGCATTTGTGCTCTTCAGACATAGCTAGGGACATGATGCTTACCATTTCCCCTCAAGATCTGAGAAAGACTTTCTTAGAGACCTTTATGAGATGCCAGTTCTTGCATTTCAAGAGCTTCTAAACTTTTGGCTCACTTAAGATTCAAGGTACAGTATTTACTCTTGCAAAGTTTTAAATTTACATGTAGGATATCAAATGACACACACTAATGACTCTAGTTCCCATTTATTTAAACAGATAGTGACAACAGAAGTTTTTGAACCCTCACTTGGGATAAGGGCACAACCAATAATTGTATCAGATACAGAATTTTAGTCTCCTACATGATCAAATATATAAAAGTTCAATGAGCGAAGTTTCTCATTAATGCTGGTCAACCAGAAAAGTCAGTCCATGATTTGTCTATTCAGTTAGAGCAAGCTTCTTCTTTAGGGATTCTGGCATTTCAGGTGGAGGTGGACGAGGAAGTCTGAAATAAACCTTGACAGAATCGTAGATGAACCACTGTAGTGCAGTCAGCGTACCAATCATAATAATACGGGCAAACAGACCCTTCCATACCCCTGTTGAGCGAAGCACAAGCATTAGCAACTGGGAAAGATTATTATATATTAACGTGGACAGGAGTTTTAAGTGCTTACCTTTGAATCCAAGCCTCACTAGAACCTGTGAAGCCGAACTGCCCTTTTCCTTGTTCAGCACAGACACCACAGAGTCAGCAGGATGAGAAACAATGGCACAGAAAACACCAGCTGAAAGAAATTTATCAATACAGTATTTAGTGTTGCTATAGTACCATCAAAGGAACTTCCATTAGCACATAACTGCTGTTAAGGGAAACAGCAAAGGAAGAAATAGGGCCACATTTCTGTGCAAGTTAGTAGCCATGTAGCAGGGAGAAGGTGGCTGCCATAGCTCTTAAATCCTGCCAGAGCCGAGTCTGCTCTTGCGTGGCTTAGGAGCCCTGGACTGCAGTCATATGCAAGCCTCACCTCTTGTGATAACCTCTACCCTATCCCAACAGTGGGTCTCTGCAAAGCTGATCCCCTAACTGGGCAGTGCCGTACTGCTCCTGTGAATCTCCTCTGTAGTGCAGATATGGAGTTTCATTCTGACAAATTTAAGGGAGTCAATTATGTAATCACTTCCTCCTGCAAGTCTTCCTTTGCTGTGCTAAGCTAGTGCTCCTGCCAAAATCTGCACCTCTTTCAGCTTAGGAGCCACAAAGGATCTCATGATTGCTCCTTATGTAAAGTGCAAGTGTTCACGGCCTTTCATAATTCAGTTGAGAGTCAAAAAAACCAAGACCATTTTTCATTTAGCTACTCATTCTTTTCATAACTTTGAAAGTTTTGTAATTTTTCCCTACCTAACCTCATTAAGAGTATCGGAGTCCCTATTTTCAATTACATAGTTTCTGGAATCACTGTAGTAAAAACCCAGGACATAATTTTCATACTTTTCAGACACTTCTGGAAGAATCAGCATTCAAAGGCTTCCTTACCAATGTAGCCAGCTGTAAATGTGACAACCAATTGTTCTGGCTTGGAACATTCACTCCGGGGCTTGGGAACCACATACTTGTAAAGAGCTTCAACTGTACGTTCAAAGCAGGCAAATTTCATCATTGTGTATGGAATCTGTCTCATCCATAAAGGAACAACACCTTTGTAGAACCTTAAAAGTGGAGAGAGTAAGAATTGTAGCAAATGCTAGCCTACTTTGGAGTGCAATTCTACTCTGAAAAGAAACTAGACAGCACTGAAGCAGTTCCCATTTACTATCTCAGCGGCCTGTATATCTAAGTTGTTTGCTTATTTTTACAGTTAGGAAATCTAACTGCCAGACCTGCAAAGTGAAGATGTGTGTTTCTGGTTCGTGCCATCTATTGAGAGAGAATTTAAACAATTGTACAGGCTCAAGTGTTTATCAGAAAGATAAGCAGCTGTAACAGGAAGGAGAAAAGTTAAGGTGATGACATTTTGTAGTCATTTCCCTGTTGTAAGTGCAAGTTAATAACTCATGTCTGCATACCAGCCAAGTCCTGATAGTGAGAAATGACATGTAGATCTACAGCCATTGATATCAGAACACAAAAGGCAAATGTGCAGGTATAATACTCTCACATGCCAATGACTCAAGCATCTTTGACTGTACAACAAAAAGTTGCTGAATATCAGTTGACTGGAACTACCAGAAACTAAAGTTAACAAGCAGAACTCAGCACAAGAGATATCCACAAAGATGGATCTAAGGAGCATGTTGACTACATTAACTTGCTGACGTCGGCAGCCTCTGTTTTAGCAATGAAATGATTTCCTGATATTCCATTTTGATATACAGAATCTTCAAAGTACCCTTCACTACTTATGTACAATATGACAAGGTAGAAAGCATCAAAGATTTTACTTAATGCTATAGCCACTATTAAGGCTAAACAGAAGAATTATTTTCCTTCGCTAATACGGATCAAGAACTTCTTATATTCCAGCAGAGAGAAACTGATACAGATACTTACGCCCATACACCTTCTTCTGCAAACATTTTTGGAGCAGCTTGTCTCAAAGTGTTAGCATATCCAGGCTGTGTCTGAATGCGAACCTTTGCAGCTTCCATTGGAGCCAGAGCAATATCAGCAAAAAACTCTGCACTGGCAGAGGCAGCCAAGTATAGTGACGTACGCCACAAATATGAGTTTTCCTGAAATCCAAATGGAACCAAAGATTTTTATACTGTATTCTTTCAAACTGAACTCAGTATTTCCATTATACAGTAAAGTGAATTAGCTATACAAATATACAACATACAAACTGGGTTTAAAAAAAAAAATGTGGTAGACAACTTAAAGCTTACCTCTCCTAGTAGGTTGCCATACAGGACTTTGAATACTTCATAGAAACCAAATTTGCAGAGCCCTTGCATAGAATATCCAAAGAAAGTTGGAGCCCATCCCTTCGCCAGACCACGAAAGCCATCTTCTTTAACTGTAACTGAGAATCCATTGAAGATGCTTTTGTATTTTTGTGGGTCCACCTAAACAAATTGAAAAGTTATCTACATGGTACAGGCAGTAGGTTCTCACACACACAAGCAGTAAGTTTTCTACCCTCTTCCCATACCACCAGGATACAGATTTCTACACTAAATTACCTTTACTTATAAACTTAATGGTCATTAACTAGTCTCAATTATTAGGCTTGCTGCTGTCAGCTGAAATTCATAGTCTTCAGATACTGACATGAGAAGTTATGCTAATCCCAATTATTTTTACTGTTTGTTCCCCATATCTATAGTCTCAACAGATGTGGCCCTTTGACTACATTAGCAATTTTGCTGGATAGCAGTCCCACACTGGAAGGATTGTGTGGAAAATTTCTATGGGCATAACTGTGCTTATGCCAGTTCCCTGAACTAGAATAAGCAGTTACATCAGTATAACCATGTCCACACTTGAAGGATTATGCCAGAATAGCAATGTCAATTCAGGATGTGATTTTACTGGACATGGCTATGCTGGTATAAAATTTAAGTGTAGACTGAGCCCTAAAGCTCACCTCACCATTTGCTCAGCAACAGAAGTAGTATTTTTCAGTTACTTGGGGGGGGGGGGGGTTGTTTTTTTTGAAACTACAAATCTTGGGCCTAACTTGTTGCCCACTTCACTATAGACTTATCAAGGTCTTACCTTCCCTCTGTCTTATTTCCTGTTCTTATTTTTACTTCTGTATACCAGGAATACATTGCAGAAGATGTACATTTTGTACTGTGAAAATATGTTTGAGTGGTATTTCAGTAATAATCCAGTAATGTTCTGAGAGCTAGTCTAGCTTTTTAATGTTGTAAATAGTAAAGGAAGCCAATTTAATACTACTGCTACATCATGAGATTGTGATAAAGATTTAGAGGACGTCTATTTCTTGCTTTTGTGCATTTAACGCTTGACATCAGCTTCTCTTATTTGAGACTCAGGGCAATATGAAAGAAGGAAATGCCACACAAAGCCACAAGAACTGATAGGGATGACTATGGGGTTAAGTGGAGCACAAATCTTTAATAAAAAAAGCAAAAGACACTCGATTTCATATAGACTGTCCATTTAGTTAATAACTCAGAAGTGTCAAGTATATATATTTAATTACTTTAAAATTCAGGACCTGATGCCTCTTTAGAGCCTGTTTTATGGAGGCAGTTTCAGAGTACAATGTTACAGAAGTGTTCAGTTACCTGTATACTTTAGAAATTAGGACTATTCCTCTATTTAGAGTAGAAGGAAGCTGACTTTATTTTAAGTAAAACATTTAACAAACTGCAGGTTTTATTTGGTAAAACATGAATATTTACTTGACTCCAGTGGTTTCAACCCAAACCATTTATAAGAGCTTATGATGCCTTCACCTGAAGCAACTAGCATTCAGTCAAATGCATTATAAGTTCACTGTATCTTTCATAATTGGATCACAACTTCCCAAAAAAGTACACCAACTTCCAGCCTTAAAGGAGGTTTAGAGATCTCTAAATGACATGCAATTCTAAATGAAACGATATCAAGATTGTTCCTTTAAGCAATCAGGAACTGTTGCACTGGCACAACGTTCACATCCATTTCTCCCAGTCTCAGAAGTTTTACCACCACTAGATGTCTGCTAGCTCTAGAAATACTGCCCACCTCACACAGTAACCTGAAAGCTAGTGAATTTCTAGCAGTTTAGAGATGTGCTTTAATCTACCTCACTCTTGGAACATAAGCCTTTGGCCAAACAGCCGCTTAGTTGTGCCATTAAGCGATGAATGTATGATAATTAGATTCTTATATTTCCACGTAAGTAATTTAAACATTCAAATGGAATGGGTGTTCAGTCTCTTCAAGTCTACTTAATCGTGTTTTACCATTTGACTGTTGGCCTACAATGCATTTTTCCTATTGTTATTGATAGCGAACCATGCAAGCATTAATTTGATTTTGCAACTCAAGTAATTCCAAGTTTTAGTATCATTTTAATATAAGTATTAGCTTCCAACTGCTATGCATTTTCCATTTGTTCATAAGAAAGGCTCAAATTAAAAACTCAATCCAGAATCCATGCACAGAAGTCCTCTGTAGTAATTTTCATTTAACTCTTACATATGCACGTCATGTATCTCAGATGCTCTGAAGGTAATTGCCCCCTACTTCCAGAATGATAAGAAACAGGCATATTATTCCTATGCCCCCCCCCCCCCCCAAGAGGTGTTTCACTAGTTTTTAGTCACAAGATACTTAAGACAATTGGTGGGAAACTTTTGCCATGAGTTATTCTAAAGCATGTTTCTCAACTGTAATTGGCTAAAACAAATCAAGCCTGAAATCTCAAAGTGGTTAGAAGTTTTCCCTATTCATCTATGCTATCGTTCATCTGCATCACAAGGATGCAAAGTATTTTATTAATCCAATAGATGTTCATTTAATCCAAAAAGAACATTAAAGCTTGATTATTTCTTCTTTCTACCTAGCACTAGTGTTAAGGTATTACATTATACCCCTTGTAAAACTCACGACATACAGCCTCTGGACTAAATATGAAAATAGATTAAGTTAAAGAAGCTTTGGAGTCCGTTTCATTCAGATACAAACCTGGATACGACATTTCACTAAATCCAGAGGTACGACTGCAGTGTGCGTCAGGCCACAACTTAGGACCCCACCAAAACCACAGAGAGCATAAAACTTGAGCGAGCCATATTCACAACTGTATTCCTCTGCAGCAAAACATAAAGACACCATGCTTTTATATAAGCCCCATGCACAGCTGGAGAACATCTTGCTTGATGGATAACTTACTCCTCCAGCTTCTGTTAGCAGACATGAATCACACTTCATAACCATGCTTTATGAGTTTTACCACATTCAACATGCAAAACAAACCTGAATTCTGCATTTAACCAGGTCTAGGGGAACCAATGCTGTATGTGTTGTGCCACAGCTAATAATCCCACCAAGGCCACAAAGGAGAAAGAATCTGCCTGAGCCATATGCACAGCTATATTCCTCTGTTTAATCAGAAAGAAAAGTGTTAAAGTTTGTACACTTAACTGTACAAGTCTGAAGAAGACACTTAGTATTTCATGTTTAAAATCCATTTCCAATAATCATCCAGCACATTAGATTGGAAGTAATTGCCTTAATGATTTCTATCTCCCTGATAGAGATACTAGCTGGCTAATGGGTTGCTCAAATACTACAGCACTGGCTCCTGGCTTCACTCCTAATTTTTTGGACGAATGAAAGAGCAGCTAGGTCGAGTTCCAGGCCTGCCAACTTGAAAGTGTCCATTTACATTCTCATTTGTCAAAGTTTTCACTGAGGGAGTTTGTCCTTTTAATGAAATATTGAGCCAACTATTTACGTTTTTAATTTAGTAGAGCACCTCAGTCTTTACATTTGAGTTTTATTTAGGTTCAAGCACAAATTTAACACAGATCGAAAAAAAGCCATTTGAAGAGCTAGAAAGTGAAATAGTGCAGACCAGGCCAGAGTCCTAACAACGCTGCACTGGTCGTTAGACCAGGTTAGTTGAATCAGCGCAGCTTTGGTAAGGACACTTACATAAGCATGATTAAACATATGTAAGAGAACCCATATACATGAAGTCGCACTGGCTAAACACAATACCTCTAGTTCAGTGGTCTCCAACCTTTTTATGCACAAGATCACTTTTTGAATTTAAGTGCAACCCAGGATCTACTCCACCCCTTCCCCAAGGATCTGCCCCACTCACTCCTCCTCCCCTCCCCATCACTTGCTCTCCCCAACCCTCACTTTCAGTGGGCTGAGGGTTGGGTTGCGGGATGAAGTGTGGGTCTGGACTGGAGCCGCGGAGATTGGAGTATGAGAGGGGGTTCCGGGCTGAGCCAGGGGCAAGGGGTTGGGGTGCAGGAAGAGATGAGGGGTGCAAGCTCTGAGAGGGAGTTAAGGTGCAGAAGGGGGCTCCGGGCTGGAGTTCAGGAGGAGTTATGGAGGGCTGACTCCAGGAGAGAGCTCTGGGGCGGGCTCCCACCAGGCAGCACTTACCTCAGGCACCTCCTGGTCGGCAGCACAGCAGGGCTAAGGCAGGCTTCCTGCCTGCCCCAGCCCCACACCGCTCCCGGAAGCCGCCATCACACCCCTCTGGCCCCCTCTCTGCAGGGACTGCCCCCACAGCTCCCATTGGCCGCAGTTCCCCATTCCCGGACAATGGGAGCTGCAGGAGCAGTGCTTGCAGGGAGAAGCAGCATGCGGAGCAACAAGAACACCCTCTCCCCCCTCCCCGCCCTCCAAGGGGCCCCAGGGGCAGAAATACTCAAAGTAATCTTACATCCAAAAGTTACACTTTCAGAGTCTTATTCTGGGATGTTTCCTTCACATGAAGCCACACTTAAAGTATTTTCACCTTTGTTACTGTACAATAAAATTATTCCGCATAGAGACAATGACAAGTGTTACACTTCTTCTGTTTACTTGGAAGTCAAGAATCAGGGACAGTACCAAGTGGCATCCAAACAAAAGAAAGATGAATGTTTACTCTAACCTAAATATAATAAAGCAAATAACTTAAAGGACAACTTTCCAGAAGAATACACTGTGGCCAATACCACCTCTGCAAGAATAGGCAAGTACAGTTTCTCAGGAATAATCCAGAGTCTTGGTTAGAACAAAGTCAAAAGTACAACAGTTATTTTCTCGGGAACCAAATAAAGCCTCTCTGAAATGATAATAGGACAGAACTGATAAGCCAGTACTAATATAGGGCATATTCTACAAAAGTCATATACTTCACACTTAAGAATAGTCTTGACAGAGAAAGGATGATCTTATGCTAGGTGCACTTGACTAGCATCAAGACTAATGGATTCTGTTCCCAGTGTGTCTGTCTGCAGCCTTGGGAAAGCCACTGTTACTTATGCAGCTCAATTACATATCTATAAAGTGGTGATTATACTTTTCTACATCCTGGAATGTAAATTAGTATGCAAGGTGCTCAGTTACTCATCACTGAAGAAAAGCCTGTATTTATCCCTCTATGGCATCCTTAGTCTCTTTGCAGCACATTAGTGTCTGTGCAACCAAGAAAGGAGAAAAGTAAATAATGAAGTAGACGACCATCTTTTCTTTAAGAAAAGATATCTTAACTGCATATTCATTTTATATACTAAAGCCCAGCGTTTTTAATGGGAAGGCAGTGTGGTTGAGAGGCTAGAGCAGCAAACCACAAATCAGGAGACCTGGGTTCTATTTCCAGCTCAGCCACTGGCCTGCCAGGTGTCCTTGGACAAATCACCTCACCTCTATAGCCTGGTCCACACTAACCCCCCCACTTCGAACTAAGGTACGCAACTTCAGCTACTTTAATAACGTAGCTGAAGCCAAAGTACCTTAGTTTGAACTTACCGCGGGTCCAGACGCGGCAGGCAGGCTCCCCCGTTGATGCCGCGTACTCCTCTCACCGAGCTGGAGTACCGGCGTCGATGGCGAGCACTTCCGGGATCAATTTATCGCATCTAGACAAGACGCGATAAATCGATCCCAGAAGATCGATTGCTTACCACCGGACCCAGAGGTAAGTGTAGACCTACCCTATGACTTAGTTTCTCAGTCTATAAAATGGAGATAGTGATATAAACCTCTTTGTAAAGAGGATGGAGATTTAATGAAGAAAAAAGTGCTGATATTATTAACCAGAAAATTCCTTGATATAAAAGTGTCACTAATTTTTAATTACTATTGTTACACATACAAGATTAAGGTCATGACATGATAGAAATATTTTTCATTTGCCACACTGCAGAGTTTCACAGCACTTTATGTATAGAAAGATGCCTTTATATTGATTTTTTAAAAAAGAAAAAAAAAAAGCATAAATTAGAGATTGAAAATTTGGCTAGGATATTCAGCAAGAAGGGTGGTCCAGATTTCCAGTTTACTTACAATTATTTGTAAGTCCTTCAAATGGAGTTCACATTACAGAAAAAAATCCAAGCCATTCAGGATTTTCAATACATGTCAGATCTATTCCTTCTATTACCAAGATCTTCCTCTTCCCTTTAAAAGCTCTGGTGGGGGCCATATGAGATTTACTTTCTACAGGTAACATGCCCTTGCTTTAATTTAAGACATGGATGTTGGGTCCAGCCTATGGTGATATGTGCCAGGCAAATACCTAGAGGAAGGAATAAGTGACTAGCAGCCCGTGTAGTCTCTACCAGCGCTGTCCTGGGTGGCTGTGAAGCAGCAGCAGCAACACTGCCCTGTGCCCCAGCCCAGTTTTCAGGGGCTCACGCACTGGAGAAGATGGCAGCTCTGGCTCTCCCAGAAGCGGGGGACACAGGCCTGCGGCCTGGCCGCACCAAGGTTACAGCGATAGAGCCGGGCCCAGAGGCGCCCCGACCGTGACGCACTAGGGGTGACCGTGAGCTACCCGGGCGCAGGGCGGGGCAATCGGACCCTGAGCACCTGGGACCCGACACAAGCCGGGAAGGCTCCCCCGCCCCGTGCCCTTCCTTGCCCTCCAAACATCACCGGAGAGGCCCGCGCGAGGCGGCCCCTCCCCAACCAGGCCGACATGCAGGGCGAGGGCGGTCCCCACCCCCCAAGCTCCGGCGGGCAGAACCCGTCCCATCCCCACGATGGAGGGACGCGGGACGGCGGCAGCGGCCTCCCTTCCAGCTGCTCCATTTACCTTCGGCGATAGCGGCGGCCGCCAGGCTCCTCCTGGGGCTGGGCGGCTCGGCGGGATCCGGGCGCTTCCTCACGCCGTCCTGGAGCAGCTGCAAGTGGGGCGCGTGGAATGGATTTAGGCGGGCGAGCGGCGCGACGGACGAGAACATGGCGGCCTGGGGAGAGAGGCGGACACGGAGCAGGAGTTAGCAGGGGCCGCGCGCTCGCCGGGGCACAGGCCGCAGGCCCACAGCGAGCAGGACCCAGAAGCCCCGTCCCGCGCGCTCCGGGGATAGCACGCGCCGGCTCGGCCCAGCTCGCTGACACTCACCCTCTAAAATGGCGGCGGCGCCCACTCAAGTTCCCGCTGCTCCACCGGCAGCTCCGCTCAGAGGCCGACTAGCGACCCTGCTCAATGACTTTGTCCTTCTCCGGCGCAGGGGGCGGGGCAGCCGGCCAACAAGCGGCGATATGATTGGCGGAGAAGCTCAGCGGACAGGCGTCACCACGCTGACGTCCTCGAAAACCCAACCCTCGTCTTCTCACGCATGCGCACTCCTTTATACCACTACCCCGCGGAAGCGTCCGGTGCAAGGGGGAGGGGGAGGGGGAGGGGCAGAGCGAGTCATTGACTTTCCTCGGACTATTGGGGCCCCGGCACTAGCCCAGCCTGCTGAGTGCGGGGGGGCTGATGGGGTGACGCTGCTGGCGTCAATGGAAGCGGAGCTCTAGACAGTCCATTTCTGTGTCTATATGGGGGACATTTTCCAGGTGGTTTTAAATCAGTCCCGCTAACCCGGGTTTGAAGGGGTTCCATCGTGACGCGGCCTCCAACGGGCCATCTCTGCGGCCTTGGCAAGTTGTGACATCCGTGTAGTTGGGCCAGATTTAGAACCAGGCTGAAAATGCCCCACCCCCCCAGGCGCGTGCCAGGTACCTCAGTAAATGTACCTAATTGTTAGCTCCAGTGTCTGCCCCACAGAAGCCCCTGTCTGGCCAGGCCATCCAGTCACCTCTTTGCAACTCCTCATCCTGAGTATGGAGAAAACCTAGGACCTTGCTACCTTGTATACCTCTGGACTGGACAGCCCCGAGTTAGGAAATGTTGAGTTTATCATCGCTTTTGTGTTGTAACAATGCAGTCATGCCTAGGGTGTTTACTAAGGCTGCCAGAAATAAGTTGCAAAGAAATGTCTCTATTACTTGATGTGTGCGAGTGTTCTTGGGAACCCCCAAAGCTAGAGCCTGAAGAGCCTAGTATTTGGACCACCACAGTATTCATCTCCAAGGTTGTGATAAATCTATCACGGTACCAGATAGCTACAGACAGGTGTACTACTACACTCACAGCAATGACCTGCAATGGGGTCAGTTACAATATCTGTTATACATTCCCCTTCCCTGTCTTCTTTTATTGTCTGTTTCTGTTATCCTCTCATATTTCTTTCTGTCCAATTTATATTACTTCACTCTCTGGCCCTGTTTACACTAAGGGGAAAGGGCAATGCAAAAAAAACCCAGACAAACCCATAAGCTGAAACAACTTCATTTTGTATCCACAGCACCTTGTATCCACATACAACTGTCAGACATTTCACAAGAGTTAATTGTAAGCATTTGGTTCAGTGCCAGAACCAGGAGCCTAATTCTTCACTGCTTTGCACCTTGTGTGGTCATTTGCACCTGTGAAAAATCAGTGTAAAATTAGAATTCTCCACTCACATATACCAGTGGTAGTATTTTACATCCACTTTGTATTCACTTTTGCACAGATGTAAATGACTACATCAGGAACGAGTAGTGGAGAATCAGTTCCCATGTCTTTAGTTCATTTCAGGTCTGAAGCAATACATTCTGCAACTATTTCTGCCCATTGTAAACAGGAAGCTGTAAGCATTGCAGCTGCACAATTTCAGATTGTCCTCCTGATCTCCTTGCTCCATCAGATCTCCTTTTGGTAAGCCACGCTTATGTTGGAATAAGAGTATTCACACGAGAGGTTATACCAGTATAACTATATGTCTGTAACTTGGTAACATTTCCCCATATATACAAGACCTTATTCCAATGTCCAGAACATATCCTATGGATAAGAAACAACTGTTTAATATTAGAGGCCAACTGAGGTGATTAAGAAAAGGTCATGCCAAAAATGGTTTTGTATCACAAGGAAGCACTTTAGAGTTAACATTCTAGATTGGCTCTGGAACAGAAATCACAGTTATTGTGATTACAGAAAAATAGCTCATGGGCTTTAAATGAGATATATTTCCAGCTTTATATGGACCAAATCTATGTAACCTATAATAAAAGATATGCAAGTATCAGGAAAAAATGGATGAGACCGAGCTAGATTCCTTGACATATTGTACAGACTGAAAAATCCATAGTTAAAGCTGCCATAGAACACCAGCTTTGCAGCACAATTTAATGTCTGGTTCTATTAACAGAAGGTGGTGTTACATAAAGTAGGGGAAATATTCATTCATCTACTGTGAACTAAGTACACTGCAAGTTACTCAAACACTGAGAATTTCCTCCCATGTTTATTATTTTTTTGCCTCTACTGATAAATCTGTTTGGGATTTACTTTCTCTGTGTGTAGGATCTAGCCAATTTGCAGACCTTCTCATGGTTTATATATTTTATAAACAAAAAAAGTAAATATATATTGTAATTGTTATAGGCATCATTATATTCTGCCTCAACTAACCCTCACCTTCAAACTGGTGCACAATAGCAAGTACTGTAAGTACCAAGCAGGAGCACAAGTACAGTTGTGTTTATTGTTATGTTTATTTTGCTAGGGGAATTCTCCAGGGAGGGCAGAAACAAAGGGGAAGAGAAGGGAATAAAAGATACACAAATAAAATTTAAAATGGTGGGCACTGAGTATCTGATCCTGCCCCACTTAAATCAATAGGAGATATATCAGTGACTTCCATGGCTGCAAAATAGAGCCCTAAGAGAGAGTGAAAAATAACAGGTGGAGCATTGCATAAGAAAGAAAGGGCAGAGAAGGGTGAAACAGAAATTCAAGAGGAAAAAGATGAGAGACTGCAAAGAGAGACAGCGAAAGAGCAACTGTTAATGGTAACTACTGATATTGATTTACTTTAACATGCACATAATTTGTGCTGCTCACAAAAAAAATGGCCTTTTGTGTTCAAAATGCATCAGCATGACACATCACTATTTGATGACACCCTTCTTGCTCTCTGTCAGATACAAAACTATGCACGATGGTTGGTGAATCATTTTTTTCAGTCCTTTTTCTGCATTACAGATTTTATTGTTTTGGAAGCAACATATTATGGCACAGTTTAGTTTTGCCGATATGGACAGACCAAACATTTTTTTAACTTATGAAACAACATAACAATCCTGTAAAGACTTGGGCAATAGCCTGGATCTGCAACATCATTTTAACATTTTGTCCTACCACTCACCCAATCCCACCTCACCCCTAGTACAAACTCTGTTATAAACACAGTGGCCGGGAGTGGTAACAGTTGTAGTACACAGACAAGTGTCACAGGAGGATGAGAGATAATTGCTAACCTTTCTTCTGAAAACTTCCAGCTGGTTTGATTTTAAATTCAATTAAATGTTAATTGCCTTAGAATCACAGTGTTGTTGTTTTCTGTATTTCTTTTGACTGGTGTAAATTTTTAGCTGTTACATTATCTGGAAATACTATTTTGCAGAGGTATGCTCCAACATGAGCCTTGTACTTCAGTTAAAACCTTGCAGATTTCTCCTGGGGAGTGGGGAGAAGATAGGGGCATGTGTTTGTATTATTTATACATACCCCATACATTTCTTAGTTTTAGGAGCAGATAGCTTTTCCTTCCATTATCAGGAGGGGGTATTGAGTTTTTGGGTATTTGAGCTGACCATTTGACTGCTTTAAGTGTGGATTTGGAAAGGCTGGTCAGTGAATTTGAAACATTTCTGCCTGTATCCGCATTAACTTCGTTTATTACAAAGGCATTCTATCAAAATGTAGATACAGGAAAGGAGGATACAGGAACAGCTATAATGCAAGATTTAAAATAAGATTCTTCTATTTTCTGTTCTTTGCTAAAATTCATATTCTGCTGTTACCTTTCACTCTTCTTCTTCCTCCTCCTTAAACAAGTTGATTTTCAGAAGACACCCCTCTCAGAGGATTTCTTGGTTGTTGACCAAAATAACTAAAATCATATGTACTAAAATTTGATTGTCTTCAGAGATGGCCTTTGTAGACCTTAAAACTCCAGTACTGTATCTCATACCCCCACCCCAAGTTGAAATGTAAAGGGAAAATATCACCTATCATGTTGGGGGTGGGGGAGAGAGGGAGAGAGAATTTTTCTAGCAATTGCAATGATAACCTTGACAATGTTAAACAATACAAGCCTGGGTCACTGATTTCCCTTGAGAAGGTTATTCACAGTCTCCTCTCAGTGACTCAGGGCTGTCCTTTGGGAACTGGAAAAAACATAGTAATAGGTCCCTTGGTTTTTGGGAAGACCTCAGATTAGTTCACAGCTGCAGGAGGCAGTGTCACCCAGACTACTGCTGGTGGTGGTGGTAGTGCTGCCACAAACACCCTATCAATCGAGGCATTTCCTCTGCTGAGCAGCTATATGACCTCCGGCCACAAACAGGGGCCTTTCTATAGGATGAGAGGCAGCATGGTCTAATGGGATAAAAATAGGATTGGGAACAAGGAACTAATCCCAGTTCTAACACAAATCCCCACTGTAGCCTTTGTGAAATCACGTATGTCAAACTTCTCAAGCAAGGGCCTAAAGTTAGGAGCCTGAATTCAGATATGCTGAGCACCCATGGTTCCTATAAGTAGGTCTGATCACACTGGTCAAAATTCCTGTACAATTAGGGACAGGTGACAAAAATGTTCTTTTTAATCCATGCTCCTGCCCTCAACAGAACTATGATGTTAAGACCCCATATCAGCTTCACACTGATGCATTGCAGAGACTGCCTTAAACCCTAGCATTCAGAGAGATGAGTGGGATATGGCTGGTAGAAATTTTAGCCATTCCTTGGTATGGAGTGGTTCACACATCAGCCATGCAAGCTGCTGCAGTCCTGAGGGTGTAGTAACAGCAATGGCACAGCTCTGCTGCCAATCTGCAGCAAGTTCCCTTCATCTCACTGGCTCCCGGGGAACTTCCCAGTGTGCAGCTTGATTACCTCAGAAGTGCCTTAACTTCAGGGCAAATTCAGACTGCATTGCCTGAGCAAGATGACGTGTAGGTGAACAGCCAGCCAGAAAACGTGGTAGTGTCAAGCCTATCTTGAGTGAACCAGATTGGGCAGGCTCCAGTGTGCTCCAAGTAAGGCAAGGTCAGCTGAAATACAGCTGCATTCTGTGCATAGTTCAGTTCGTGGCAGAGCGTGACATGCAATTCAGATTGTGAGG